TTCTCTCTCTAGAATTTTTGCCAGAGCTTCGCTACACTGAGTTCGCACAGCGGGGAATGGACCTGGCCTTGGGGTATTTATAGGCGATGGAATCCGGGCTTGGGCCTGGATTCCGGGCCTCCGGATGGGCCGCCATCATTACACACCGCGTCCTCACCCAACCAGTGATGCCGCCCACGGACAGCCAGCCATCACGCGCCACGTGTCCCCCCCCCAACGGCTATATCCTGACGTTACGTATTCCAACGGCTATATTTCCAACGGCTATATTCTGGAAGCCCCCGGGTTTCTACTGCACTCCGCTACATCAAGGAGAGCCTCCGGGTACACTTACCCAGAGACGCCCCCGGGATGTGCCCCACACAGCCCTTCGGAAACTCAAGGCTTCATATCAGGGCACCCCTCGGGGATTCCCCCTCAGCACTGCAAAACCGGGTAGCCCCCGGGGAGTTGCCTCGTTGACGGGTGACCCATGGCACACAGGTAATGAGAGCCCTCGGGTATATTCATCACCAACTAATCAACAAACAGTGGACTCCCCGGTAACAACTCCACTGCTGCCCTCATCTGGCAGTCGCTCTATCTCCGGATTGAGGGGCTCCCCTTCGGCGCCCCCAGGACATCAACAGCAAGCCTTCGGCTAATCAGCACATGAGCCCTCAGAACAAGGAAGAGCCTTCAGCATTACCGTTGTTCTCCATTTCTGACCAAGGTTTCACATTTTCGATTCATCATTGGGGGAATTCGGTGCACTCTTTTTCCCTCATTAGGATTTTTTCCCCCAGGGTTTTTCCTAATGAGGTTTTTAACGAGACATCCCCCCAAAATGAAACGAAAAGCGTCAGCCTTCGGCCCACAACAGCAACGTAACTACTTTACTCCTTTTCACCACTTTACAAGTGCCTCAAGGAGTGGGGGACTGGAGGACCCCCTCGGGAAAATCATTAAATTACAAAATTAGTGAAGTTCCAACAAACAACAAAGCAAGCCCTCAAGTCCCGACATGTGGGTAACTGAGGGACTGCCTTCGGCAGGGACATAAAAGCAACAACTCCTCACCAACTTCAGAGATCACGACGGGACAACATCAAAGGGCAAGCACAAATTACTCCTTTTCCCTCAAGTACCTTTCGGCAAAAGGAGTGAGGGACTCCTGATGGAGTATATGGCCCGGGAACCCCCGGCCCACAGACTCCTACTACTCCTTTAGAGGACCAACAGGCCCAGAAGGTCCAACAGGCCCAAATCACAGCGCCCAGAGTACCAAGCAGCCCACACTACGCGCCAGGGGTGCCTTCGGCCCCCTGGCCGAAGGCTCTAAACTCTCGCAGAACGGGTTTCTCAAGCAAATTAAGAAACTGGGAGAAAAACGGCGAAAACAGTAGCCCTCGGCACTATGAGCCCTCGGCACCAGGGTGCCATCGGTTGGAGGAGCCCTCGGCCACTGCTCTATGGCCGAAGGCATCTCACTCGACAAGATATCCGCCTCACATGCGTACAGATCACCGTACCCCGCACAGACGTCCCATCCAACAGCCGCATTAAATGCGGCCACATGCGGCTGCCAGCGCCAACCAGTTGAGGTGACCCCTCGGCCAATGAGCGCTTGACACGTGTCCCTGCCCGGCATTTATTGCTACTATAAATAGCACCCCATTTCCCCATTTGTAACCACGCTGAAAACGGCATTCATACTGAATACACTCTCTCTCTACTTTTACTTACTTGCTCTGACTTCTCTCTAAGTTATTCCCCGTAATAACCCTTCGGATATATACCCCCGGGTAGACTATCCATCAGTAGGTTTTATCTTGGGGACCCACCTTTCTGTTTTAGGTTTAGGAGGAGAGTAGACAGGTGCTTTGTGATTGAACGGTTGTTTCTTCAGTTTAGTTTTGAAAATCTCTTCTTTAGAAAGCCGATTAAGATGTTTCCTTGAATGAACTCTAAGAGAATATTTCATATCAGGAATACAAAACGTTCCCTTAGAAGTTCCTTTCTTGGTTTCTCTTTCAGGTTTGAGCTTTCTGAAAGGCTTTGATTTAACGACATTCACATCACATTCATAATTTTGGGGGTCTGGAACAGAATAACCATAAGCAATAGTAGAATTATACATTGAGCCATGTTCAAAAGATGTCACAGAGTTTTTCAGCTTGGGACTCAAGACTGAACTACTAGAAGCTGAGTTTACATGGACAGACTTAGACTTAGTTTTAGAGTACAAAATGGAGCTGGATCTGGGACCAGGTTTATTCTCAAAAACTTCTTCTTGCCAGCAGCTATTTCCTTTCTTTTTATCTCCCACTCTTTCTTCTCTTCTCCTCTTCTTTTCACTTCTTGTCCTGTGACAAAAGGAGAGGAGCGATGAGTGGCAGATTTTTCAGAAGATTTAGTTTTATCAGAAGAGGTTTGAGCAGTTTTTAAAACAGAATGATATTTTTCACTCAATTCATCAAATTTGCTTAACAGTTCTTGCCAATTGCTTTCAGAACTTTTCTTTTCAGTTTCAAAACGCTCTCTCTCATTGTCAAGGGTTTTCTGAAGATCCGCATATTTTTGGACCAACGGAGAGATGCATTTGTCCTGTCCGGACTTAAAAATTCCAGTTTTGGGAGTGGGACCCATTGGACATTCGAAATAAGGAACCCCTTTTGGGACATTAAAAATGTCAAACCCCTCCTCGTTGTAGATTACTTTTTCTTTAGAAAGAGCTTTCTCAACCAGAGGAGTATAGTCAAAAGAAGTTTCAATTTTAGGATTACTCCTCTTCTCTTCTTCTTCTTTAACAGTTTCTTCTTCACTTCCAAATTTCATTTTCTTTTCAATGTCTAGAGTTAAGTAAGTTGCATCATACAACTGGCAGCAGTCAACTTTCTTTAAATGACAAGGATTCGGCAGTCCAAGACCAGCTTTTGGGTTGTAATGCTGAACGTCGCTTATTCGATTTAGAAAAACTGTATGTTCGGTTTGACCTCTTCTAACACACACGTCCTCAAGTTCCTTTACTTTGCTTAAAAGGCTGCTTCTTTTATTCCTTAAAAATTCACAGTCAGCTTTGGCTGTGTTTTTCTCAACTTCGCTGTCTTGCAGTTTCTTAGTCAGTTCAGCTATTTTAAGTTCAAAGCTTTCAAAGTCTGAGGACACCTTTTTGATTTGATCTTTGGCATTTTCAAGTTGAACGCTTAAGGAAGATTTTTGGTCAAGGTTCTGTTTCAGTACCCTGTAATTATTGTCTAATCTCTCCCGCAGTTCTTTAATGAGGTTGTCCTTATTGTGTAAGGACTGAGTTTGGATAGTGTGAGAGTGATTAGAGGTACTTACAGTGCTTGTAGAGCATTCACTTCCAAGGATCGCAGCATCACCCTTTTTCTCTTCTTCATCCTCCAGCCTTGCCATCAATGCGAAGTTTTCTTCCTCTTCTTCTTCTTCTTCTTCAGTATCATCTTCCGCCCACTGGACCAGCTCAGCATGTTTACCAGAGGCTTCTACTTCCTCCTGTTGTGCCAAGAAGAGCTTTTGTTTATTCATCAGAATCTTTTGTTTGTAGAAGTTTGCATCTCTCTTCTTTGGAAGCCGACAGTCTTTGCTGATATGTCCAGGCTTCCCGCAGTTATAGCACACAGAGGTGTTAGCAGTTGATGTAGCCTTCCTGGCTGAGCTTTGGTCTTGGTTCTTCTGTTTGTAGTTGGAGGAAGAGGTCCGCAGCTTATTTGAAGAGCTGTTCCTCTTGGCAAACTTCTTGGCAAGCAGGGCCATCTTCTTCTGGAGATCTGCAAGCTCAGCTTCAAGATCAGTTCCTTCTTCATCACTTTCATCTTCATCAGATTCAACCTCCACTATCTTCTTCTTCTTCTTCTGCAGAGGTTTCGCTGTTCTTTTGGGCTGAGCTTCCATCAGTAGAGCCAGAGGATTTGGGCTTGATTGCTCCTCAGTGCATACAACGTCATTGACAAACTCCTTTAACAGCTCATTTAAGGTGAAGAGATCAATCTCATCCATGTCAATGCGTTGTCTCAAGTCCTTTACTGTTTTACTCCAAGATGGGTGCAGACTGGACAGAAATCTAGTATTCAGTTCCAGGTTGGTTCTGAATATTTTGATTTTCCTCATTTCATTCATCAGCTTCACAAGCCTGGCATGAGTCTCGTGAAGAGGTTCTCCAGGAGCAGCCTTGAACGAGTCATAAGCCATTAGAATAGCAGATTTCTTGGTTTTTAGGTTTATGCTCGTGCCTTGGAGTAATTTTTCAATCTCATCCCACATTACTTTTGCGGTTTGCATACTGTCAATCATCACGTACACTTCATTGGGGATGGCTTGGAGGAGGTATGTTTTGGCCATAAGGTCTCCTCTCAGCCTTAGCTTGTCAGCTTCAGTGTATTCAGACGGCCTCTTTCGTCTTGTTTCCGGAGGAATGAGTGAATTATTAGTTGAGTCCCCTCCTACGTCAATCATCAGAACAGCTGGTCCTTCCAGGAGCGATTCCAGCATTGCGTCGGAGTTTTCTTTGTGCTCTAGGAAGTTCAAGAAACGAGTTCTCCACATTTGGTACTCCCCTTTCCTCAAAGATGGAGGAATACTGTTGTTTCCTTGCGCATTGGATTCAGAAGCCATATCTGTAGCTGTAGAAAACTGACCGTTCGAGAAATAAGATCAGAAAATTTACTAAGTCAAGAACTCGAGTTCCTGAGTATTAAAGACCTAAACTCGAGGTCTGGGGAACTCGAGGTGAGAGTTCGAGTTTATAAACTCGAGGTCAAGAGTGCGAGTTTCCAAAACTCGAGGTGTAAACTCGCAAGGTCAAAACTCGTGGTCAGACTGCGAGTTTGCAGACTGCGAGTTTGTAGACTGCGAGTTGTAGACTGCGAGTTCTTGAGCTCGAGTTTGCAGACAGCGAGTTTCTCAACTCGAGTTTGCAGCTGCGAGTTTATGCAATAACACCTGGACTGCGAATTCCTAAAAAAATAAAACTTCAGATTTTCAGAAAAACAAATATGGTAAGTTGTAGCCCTTCCTGTAGAGATCCTTTCACCCAAGTTTCAGGTCAAAAAGCTGCACATAACTTAGAGAAACGAGGGATGCGAGTTCTTGGATGCGAGTTTACAGAGAACAAGAAAGTGCGGAAACGAAAAAAGAAGATATACTGGTTGATCGTCTTTGAAACGCGATTCTAACAGTATAACTTTTACAATATTTGGTGCAGAAATAAGATTACAGATGATAAACTCGCTATTCTACAAAAAGGGAGGAAAAACAGAGTCTTTCGCAGATAGTTCTTCTGATCAGCTCTCGATCGGCTCTGATACCATTTGTTAGTCCTTGTTTTCTATAACAGCAATATAATATGACATACAGATGAAAGATTATCAACAAAGATGAACACAGAAAGATCAAATGTAAACCTTCTCTGATATACCGTGAACAGTTCGTACAAGAATGATCAGCGCTAAGGCTATTTTGAGCAGATACGAAAGTTAACCGCAAACCTGAGTCCTCCACCCTCTTTTATAGGCGAGGCTCAGGTATGCGTAAAAAGGCTTCTCGCCTAAGTATGGGCCTAACACTTGGCCCATATTGAATACTATTCTAACAGATATATTTAATTAGTGCAGAACAGAAATAGTAAACATCTAAATTATTACAGACAAAACAGACAAACTTGATTCACAATAAAATAGTCTTCAACAGCTTTCTTAGGGTTAGGGTAGTCCTTGATGAAATGGTCAACGTTACCACAGTTGTAACACACTCTCTTCCTAGATTTGTTCCTCTTCCTCCCAGGCTGACTAGTGTTCTTACTTTGAGTATTTTGCTTAAAGTGCTTGGACCTACTCTCAGATCTACCTCTAACAAACATAGCCTCATCGGAGCCCCTGGACTGACTATGACTATCCTTAGCATGCTTCAGGACTAATTCCTTGCTCCTTAACCCATTAACAACAATATCTAGCAAAATCTCATCCCTATCATACTTAATAGCGGACTTGACATCATTATAAGAGTCGGGAATGGCATTAAGTAACACTATGGGAGTATAATCATCTATTTGTTCATCACCTGCTTGTTTGATATTCGGTATCAGTTTATTAAACACATCCAAGTTCTCATCTATATCCTTAGTCAGATCAAACCTAAACCTAAAGAATTTCTCAAGTAAAAACAACTTCCTGGGCAAAGAGGTATCAATATAGAGACTATCCAATTTCTCCCACAATTCCTTAGCGGATTCAAGAATACCCACTTTCCTAAGCACATAATCAGACAGATTCAAGTAAATAGTAGAACAAGCAGTTTCGTTCATTTCAATTTGCTTAGGCTTATCTTCTGATTCAAGGAAAAATACCAGTGACAACTCTGAAAACTTTTTGTTGTATTAGAACACACTTGATTTTTTGTTTCCATATGTAAAAATCTGTTTTTCCGTTAAACAGAAGCATACAATACTGATTAGCAGCCATGGTATCAACCACAAAACAACACAAAGCTAAACAAACAAATTTGACAGAAAATAAATCAACCCGGGCTATAAAGTATCCACTTTAATAACCCCGGACAACATGCAACAAATAGCAATTTTGGATAGTTTGGCACCTAAAACAACTCCGGGCAGCAATTAGGATTAATTAATTCTGCCCCTAACACCCAAAAAACCACCCTTACGCACAAGAATTGAAATTAACAACACTTTGTAATTCAATTTAATCAACTAAAATATTCTGCTACAAAGGAGACGGTTTAGCAAACACACCTGGGGGGTTGGCGGTCGGGATACAATCTACTAGCGGCCCGCGGGGAGGGGGAATAAATTAAATCTGGAGGCACCCAGTGCACCTAGGATGTTTATCGCCAATTTAATTTAGCGAAACCCTAGGAGAGAGTTTCGACCTTACCTACCCAATTAAAAAATTGGGATTTTCGGACTGTTGAATGAGTTTGACCGGCATTGACCGACGTTGACCGGCGTTGGCTGGTGGTTGATCGGCGGTCCAGAAGTTGTCCAGGTTCAGCAGCTCCTGCAGCCGTTGCAGCCTGGTCCAGCTTTCCTTCAGGAATCCAGCAGCCCAAAATAGCAGTTCAGCTCCAAGCCTAGTCCAAGAAATAGCAATGCAGCCCAACTCTTCAAGCCCACACAGCTCACTGCTACACAACCCAAGTGTTCCTTCTACGCAAGAACTCAAGCCCCTTCCTCGCTTCCTCTGATGCGAATGATCTCAGCACCAGCCTTCAGCATAATCCACACCAGAAGAATGGATTTGGCCGAGCTTCATGCGTTGGTGGCCTGCAGCGACGACAATAGGCGGCTCTCAGGTGACGGCTCCAGTGACGAACAAATCGGCAGATGCAACTGGCGAGCAACTCTCTACGGCGGTGAGCTATACCAACAGCTACTGCGACGGCGGAAGAACAGAGACCTCTGGTGGCGACTCAATCAACGAGTGACGGCTTTCCTGACCTCAAATCGACGACGGAAGGTGGCGTATGATGGCAGAGCTTTTCAGATGGCGGAATCCGGCGAAACCGACGGCGACGGCAACCCTAGGCTCTAATACCACTGTAAGGATCTAATCCGTGTCCGACTCATGTCTCCAACCTCCGTCAATGGCTCACACACACCACTTTAGGGCTAGCTACAACATCTCCCAATTTTCTTCTACCCACTAAGACCCTCACTCTATTCTCACACAAAGGGAAAGAGAAGAAGGAGAGCACTGCTCTCTGGAAATATCTTACGCAGGCTGCTCAACCAGGAAGAAGGCAAAGCCTTCTAAATAATAGGCAACACTTAGAGACATGAAGTCACGGGTGAGAGCAAGACAATAAAGCTACTGCAGTGGACAGGTCAAGGGGGCCAAATCCAGATAAGATAAGTCAACACTCAAATAGGTATATAGTTGATTAGAATATATACCAAGGATAAGGTATCAAACTGGGAGTAAAATATAGGGTGCAAGCCTTAGCAAATAAAGTGGAAGGGAGGCCTTGGTAGGACCAATACCTCCAACAGAACTAAAATTTATCGATCTGATAAAATCTGGTCTGGTTTAGTATGGTCTAGACAAGTTTGGTATGGTGTTAACTGGTCTTGTAAATGTCTAGCCTCTGTCTTTGTATATTTTATAAATGTTCAAGTCTGGATTGATATGATCTAATCTGATCTGGTTTGATCTGATGACTCTGATCTGATGTGGTCTAGTGTGGGACAGAAAACAGTCCAAGTAAAAACATATTTATTAAACACGGGCGGAAAATTGAGTATATGGAATTGAGAGGATAAGTTGATATTTTCCAAATTAGTTATGACATTAACATATACTCCGTATGTGATATTAAACGATTCTAGTCTAGCTAGTAATAGATACTACATAATAATGTATAGTATGACTAGTATGAGACATATTTGTAATTCTAGAATTCTCTGTTTATTATAGGGTGAGTATTATTCCACAGTTATAATTGCATAATTTGCAAATGGTTTCAGTTGCCCAGATTAACCTAGTTTTCGTGGACATCATATTCTCCTCCCATGAAGCACGACTCTTCTGTCAGGACTCATCTATTGTCGCTGCCCTTGCTTCTTCTTTGAATTGGTGGTGCTAATGACGACTGAGGTGCCTGTGTCTTCCACGGAGCAACCCTCATCGTTTGTGGTTTCTTCTCCAGGGATTCACTATTCCCACACCAGCCCGTCACACAAGCTCCTCCATCGTTGGACCCTTACCGTTTGTTTAGTACGACGAATCGTATCACGTGGAATCCTACACTAGCAGTTCCAGTTGCGTCGTCTTCAGCCGCAAACACTGATCGATCGTCGCAGGTTGTTTTCTCTGCTTCAGCCGGACATCTCCCGCCACCAACAGCATTATCAGGCTCAACCTTCTCAGGTCAGTCGAGTATCTCTCCTCTACCACTACATCCATTTACGAGTTTACCAGGGTTTTCCTCTCCTCCTTCCTATTTGGCATCCCTGGCTTCCCAATTGGCATTTTCCACGCCCAATTTAACAAACATTGTTACTACTCCACTGAATATGGTTGAGGATTATTTCACGTGATGTACCCCAATTTGAATCTTTTCTAGTCTTCTTGGGATTCTAGATGGAACGATTTTGGCTCTGCCAGAATTTACTTATAACGTTACTCGACGGGAGATACCTAATACTGAATATCATCACTACTGGACTAAAATTGATTAGACTATTAGATAATGGCCTTTTGGTACTTTGTCCTGATACATTCTCATGGAGGTTTATGAGCTCAAATTTTCAGCCCAAATTTGGGAATGTCTTCAGACCTGGTTTATGTCTGCCAGCTTAGCTAGATCTATGGAGCTTAAACATTTGCTGTCTCATGTTAAGAAGAAAGAATTTCAGTCTATGGATCAATATCTCCTGGAAATTAAAGTTATGGCTGATTCTTTGAATGCCACTAGTTCTCGTGTTAACAATCGTGATTTGATTGAATATATCATTCTTGGCTTGAGTCCTGATTAGGTCTTTAATCACGGTAGTCAGCTACATATCATGAGATATTATCCTTGACAAATTGTGCCCCATACTCCTCTCCCAAAAACAATAGAATTTGTATATCCGCGCGCTCCCAAGACCCTTTGTCGGGTGTATCAGGCCTTTGTGGTTGCTCCTTCAGTACCCAACAAAAGGGGTGTGACTCGCGAACAGGGGGTCACATTCAAGGTGGTCGAGGTTATCTCAAAGGACGAGCTCGTGGACAACTAAGACGTGGCCGTGGTTATGGTGGTAGTTTTCAGCAACGGCAGCAGGGTTATGGCAACCACCATGCGATGATTTTCTGTCATTTTTGTCACACTTGGTTCCACATCCATACAATTTCTAGATAGCTCCCCATCCTCTTGTTCCATTCTTCTGTGTTTTTTCTCCGTTTTATCACCTGCCGGGTTTCCACGCAGATGACATAGTATTATGGAAAGTAGAAAAATGCAACGATTTTTCTGAAGTAATGGTTCCTATAAGCAAGAAGTTCACACATGATGCACCAGAATCCATGGTCTTCACCAATAGTATCTCATCCTCTTCTTTCATCTCCATCCTACCATAGGCTTGAGCTAATACCTCGAATGCACTCTGCCCATGAGTATCATCCATCGCGGCCGCTATGCAAAAAACCTCCACTTGGCCGACGTTCAGAAGCCCTCGTGAATATCACTGCCTTCCTCTTCGATCGTGTGAAACCTCCGATGCCAACCTTGCCCACACGATGTGTTCTGCTAGTGTTAAACCTGCCGGACTGGTCCTCTAATGTCGTTGTCGGAACAAACTACTCAAGCATAAGAGAAAACCCGATACGTCGTCCGCTCAATGTTTTTAGTTATTATAGTTTAAGAAAAATCATTGCTCGTCCTCTCTGTCCCTAATAAAACTTCCATAATACAAATGACGCAGGAATTAAGATAGTGAATATTGTGTGGTAGAAAGTTGTGCATAGAAGAGAGAAATGTGTAAGAAATGTTATCAACCACAAATTTTTTATCAAAATGGGAAAGTGAGAATTTAATTGAAACAGATCGGAAGATAAAGAAAAATTGAATGTGTTTAGGGCATCCTCATCCATTAGATTATTTAAGATTTAATTGGATGATGTGCAAGATTATTCTAAAGATTATCATTGTGAGTGAAAGATTATTTAGAGAGATTATTGAAAAAGAAAATCCGGTATCAATATTTGAATCCCGAATTATTTTAGGTTGTAGTTAAATTGCATTTATTGCATGATTTGTAAAAACTAATTATTTGAGTATCATGGTTGACAAAGAGTTTTAAGATTTGAGATTATTTGAAATTTATTAAATAAATGTAATGTGACAATAATGTGCAATAGAAAAATCGTTTATTTTAAGATTATGAATGGAAATGCCATTAGTGACGGAGTAGTACATGGTTACAATAAAAGAAATAAAATAAATGGCTATCCTAGCTTTACAAAATTGTGGCCTACAAACTAGGAAAGAACTAGGCACTACCGTTACACCTAATAAAAATACGGAGCATGTAATACTCCATATGTTATTACATATAATAATACTATCGTATATACAAATCATTTTGCATGGCTTGAAATCAAATCATCATCATCATACCATAAAGTGAAAATAGAAAAAATAAACGTCCAAAATGGAAGTGCCACGATATTTTTGGAACGAATCTAATAATTAATATGTATACATACACACACACACACACATATATATATATATATATATATATATATATATATATATATATATGCAATGATAATGAAGAAATAAGAAAGAGAATTAGGGGTTCTTTCACAACACAAAATCTAGAGATTACGGAGAGTTCGGAGAATGGGTGTGACGATTAAAACTTCTGCCGTTTCTCCTACCAAATTCGTTGCTGAAAATGGGAAACTTGACGCCGATGCTCTTGTCAACCTTGACCAGTACGTTCTTCTTCTTCTTCTTCTTAATTATACTGTATCGTATTTCAGACGCCCAACATGATCCATTGCCGCAATTTGGCAAATAAGTGCATTCTAAGAATTGCCGGCCACCACCATTAATTACGGATCTAAGGGTGTTATTGCTACAAATACTTGTTGATATAATAAAATAACATTAATCTAATGTTAATATCACCGTTGTTGATCTTATCCAATGAGTAATCCAAGAGCTTGTATAAATTTGTTTATCAATCTCGTGTGAGATATGAAAATAATTAAAAATTGTCTTGCTTATTTTGATTATTCGAAATTAAATTTAATGTTTAGTTCTACCCTTGACCCACTAACCCAAGGAGGTGATGTGATGGTTAAGAAAAGTGGGTTTATGAATGTTATTTTTAGTTCTAGATCATATCAAACTTAAACAGACTAAACCAGACCAAACTTAAAAAGATCAGTCCAGACCTGAATTTCTTAGTTATAAAATACACAGAGACCAAACATTTACCAAATCAGACCAGTTCAGAACTGATCAGAATAGACTTAAATAAACCATACCAAACCAGTAAATTTCAGTCCAAAGTAAAAACATCCATGCGATTGAAATTAAATTGATAAAATAAGAATAAAGTAAGAAAGATTTAGAACTGTACAAGCTATACCGTAATAAGTATGGCTGATAAAGATGTTCCCTCCTCTTAGATGTTTCTTCCTCCTAATTCGTTAGTCTTTTGAGAATGAGTTATACACTTATATGAGCTAGGTGTGTAACATTGAAAAGAAAAATTGGGACAATCTTAGGGCAGGCATATAAACCGAAAACTCATCTTATGTTGTGAAAGTGGATCTTGATTTGGGATAAATAAAAATAACACTTCTTGTATTGATTAATAATGTAAGATTTCTTGTATGATAATTGTAGTGGAGACCCAACAATGTTTGTGCCATACTGGCAAAAGATGAGTGAAGGAAGCACCATAACTTTTCCAGGAAGTCAGTCACTAAGCTACTTTTCTGAGACAAAGAGCGTGTGCTGGTTTCTGGAGCCGAAGCTAGAAGCAGAGATAAGGCGGCTTCACAGAATTGTTGGAAATGCGGCGGTTGGAGAAGAGGACTGTATTGTGGTGGGAAGTGGGTCGAGCCAGCTGATTCAGGCCGCTCTTTACGCCCTTTCTTCTCCGGATCCAGATCAGCCCCTTTCCGTCGTTTGCGCCGCTCCTTATTATTCGGTCAGCTCCCAACCCGTCCTCAACTCTTTTCCATATATGTCCCTACTACGAGTATATCTTTTTCTTGGAA